TTCTTCGATGTCTCCTGACTACATGCACTTCTCTTTTCCTCTCACTCTCTCGCTTGCGCTCTCTCTTATTACACACAATCTCTGTTTCTCTGTGTCTCCCACCCCCTCTTCAACGACACTATACATAGTTCTCAGCCATGCGCTACAGTCAGACCCAGCATACTATCCCACTACTCTGTCATAAATCACACACATATATAGATCATTAAAAACTTTGGAAATCTACACAGCTGTGCTCCCTTTTATGTCCTTTACAACTTTATTACGTGAAATTACTTCACTTTTGTTGCATTAATCATCAGGTATAAAAGAAATAAATAGCCAATTTACCCCCAGTCCCAAAAACGAAGCAGTATTTTTAAGCTTTACTAGTGAAAAAACATAATGACTGTGCGTGTATCATGTCACAATAGGAATGTCAATGTATATTTAGTTGAAATGGGCATACGAACAATACGTGTTTTTGTAATCCCTGAGAGTTTCCTTTTGATTCCCCACCACATCTGCTGTCAATGGGTCTTAAAAGCAACACAATGTACAATGACAACAGAGTGGAAGAAAGAAAATGAAAGAAATAAGGAGAAAGAAACACCAACATTGAGCTAGAAGGATGGCAGCCTGTAAACTAAAGCCACTTACTTCCTTCTGAGCAGTACAATGCAGGAAATGATCTCAAGAAAATCACTTTAAACAACCCCCACTTAGAGTTGACATAAATATGGCTAAGTCCCACTGGTCTTCAGTTGAGGGGGTTTTTTTTGAGTCTGGATGCTTTAAGAGGAAAAGGCACCGCAGACGTAAACATTTAGTGCCAGGATTACACATACACTATTTGAAGAGTTACACCTCCTTCACAGTCCTGAAGGATCGCACATTTGAGGGCCCCGAAAAGCGCTATATAAATGCAATCCATCATTATTATTATTATTATTTAAGCAGAGAGAGTGTATATGTAAGGAATATATTTTGTTTTGACTCTACTTACACAACCTGCTAGCAATAAGAGGAGGAATAAATACATCAGTCTTCACCAGACTACTGATTTAACACAGCCATGCTAATGTGTAAACGTATTCAAATATTATATCTAAATCTAGAAGCTGCAAAAGACAAGTATATACTTGAAGCCCACTAATAAAGCAACACATAATAATAAAGGTTAATGACAGAACTTTTATCGCTGCAAACCCAAGCTGTGTGCATCAATCGAGCGTTAAATAATAAGATAATTTGGCACAAGCCTGTTTTCTGGAATTACAAATCTTGTGTTAGCCGGCTGACTCGCTAAGGCAACACTTCAGTCGAGCCCGTGGAGAAGCATTCTTAAACAATGCAGGAAAAAAAGCAAACGGGGCTAAAGTGAGGCTGGAGTTGTGTAAGCGAGTTATCTGCTGAATCAGGACGTGAGAATGAAACTGACTCATCTGCGAGCCCGGGTTTGGTGAAGAAAAGCACCTTGCGATTGGTAGCTCAGTGGTTTTCAAATACTCTTGTCAATTGTTGTTTTATTTTGTCATTTTTTAAAGCAATTGCACTCGCAACATGCAATCTATGCATGAATGCCTAATCAAAGTCAAAGCTCTTGTTCAATTATTAGCATTTTACACCTGCTTTTGAAGCGGAATGAGAAATTCTCATTTAATTTCTGCCTTTCTACCTCACTCAAATCTCTCCATAGACTCCAGGGTT